CTACTATTGCCATTTTACTATCCAACAACTAGGCTGCAGTATTACCGGGAACTTGAAAAAGTGAATGTAACTTTAAGTCTACACCGGCTAGCTGCAATTGATACAGTATTCAGCACACTTTTATATGAAATAGAATTGCTTTTTGTCTATTGGCCATCGTGCTTGATAGGAGAAATAATGTAAATTGTCTTGTTTTTATTTTCTAGGACTGGCTCTCCTGCTGCACGTGCAGCTAGGTAAGTTCTTTGTACCAAAAGTTTTCAGATTCTTGGTTGGTTCTCCTTCTTGATGCTTTTATATCTCTTCATGTGACCGTTGTGCTGCATTAAAAGTATAGTTATGGTGGAAAATACTTTAGTAACTGTAATTTGTAACTATTCTTAAGTATTACTGTTGAAGATTTGTACTTTACTCAAGGAAAACTGAAACTGCATACCTTTATTCACTTACATACATTTTACCCTTTACATTTTCATTTAGACCTTCAAAGTACAAAGTAAATCTTCATGAGACAAAGACCATGAGGTTTTTTATCAGTCAAGTTCCAACATATTTTCACCTTTTTTTTTATTAAACCCTCCAAACAGATTAGTATCATTGTAAAATGAAACTACCCACAGCCATGCTAATCTGTTTACTAGTTTGGACCATGCTTTCAACATATTACACTAAAACGTGCAAGACGAATCAGTGGTCCACCAATAAATTTATTAGCTTGAGACTTTAAACACGATTCATACCATGCCAGTTTTGGTGATCATGACCCGCAGATAAGTTGAATCTTCTTGTGAGAGAAGGGTGGACAATATGACAAAATGTATCTTCACAAATGTATGACAAATGCATTTTTATTTGTTAAACCATTCCCTTTTTACCTTTAAATACGTGATACTTTTTGACTTTGTCCTAAGTATATTTTTGTTTCCATACATTTTTGGGTAGGCCTGTGAAAAAAGTGAGTAGGCCAAATTGATAGTTGCAATTTCCTAACATGCTATATGTCCCACAATGTTATAACACCAGGCAAACTTAAAAAAACTAAACTGAAGCATCCTAGGCTAAAGTATACTGTGATGGCGGGCAGTTAAAATCAGAAGGACGATGTACAAAGATGAGAAAAAACAACACAGCAAACTTGAAACCTAAACCTAAATGTCCTAGACTACAGTATACTGCTACAACAGGCATGTAGAATGTTTATGGACTGTCCTATGTCTTACCTTTGATGAATCGATGCATTGAAGTAGAAGTTTACCTTGACATTTTGACATGGCCCATTTCAGCTTTTATTGTAAAAAAAAACATTCGCAGACAAGTTATGACAATGATGTTTTTTTAAATTTGTTTTTGGCTGTGGAAGTGGGTGGAAACATAGTCTACTGGGGACAGGAACTCACTTTTACAGCTCCCTCAGATACATCTTTTGACGGTGGCTGGAGCTCCAAATTCAAACACGGGTGCGCTGACAGCAGTTGTTGCTAAGCAGTGATTGGAAGGCTGAGAAAATAAGACGGAGTTTGAAATTGGTCGATTGGACTATATCTGTAACTTTCAGGAATGACACAGAGAGCAAAAGACTTTTGTTTGGCCATAATACAAAAACAGCACTGTGTCACCCAGTATTCTAATATATTATAATACATTTGTGTCACCCACTTTTTCTAATATATTAGCCTCATAGCTCCACTGCAAAACTAATTCTTTCCCAGGATTATCAAACAGAATCCCTTACCTTCCCACTAACCTCATCTTGATCCCTTACCTAGGATCCTCCTACATCCTGTCATGTTACTTCACCAACTGGGGACAGTACAGACCCGGAGCAGGAAAGTACTTCCCCACCAACGTTGACCCATGCCTGTGTGACCATCTGATCTATGCTTTTGCTGGCATGAACAACAACGAGATTGCTACCTACGAGTGGGATGATGTCAAGCTCTACGGCGAGTTCCAGGCCCTGAAGAACCAGTACGACAGCTTACTTTGCTTTAAGTTGATATCCAGCCAAGCTGGTTGGCTACGATTAAATAATTTTTCTTCCCACTTTTGATCAAAATGTTGACGGCTGAATGCTCTTTGTGTTTTCAACAGGAACAGCAACCTGAAGACCCTTCTGGCTATTGGTGGCTGGAACTTCGGAACTGCCAAGTATGTAAAGCCTTGAGTATAGTTTGATTCAAATGATGCAGGATGCATTTTCCCAATTCTTATTCATTCATTTATTTTCTCTCTCAGGTTCTCTGCTATGGTGGCTTCTTCTGCTAACCGTCAGACCTTCATCAGCTCCGTGATTAAGTTCCTGAGGCAGTATGAATTCGACGGTCTGGACATTGACTGGGAGTACCCTGGATCCCGTGGTAGCCCTGCTCAGGACAAAGAGCTCTACACCACTCTTGTGCAGGTAGGCATCAGCATCCTGATAATGTACTACACAGGTTGCCAACCCCAGTTTTGGAGGAAGTAGTGCTTAGAGACAGTTGTGATTGGCTGAAAGGCATGTCAGCAAAGGTCAATTCAGCAATAAATTAACTAAATAAGATGACAACATGCTGACATACAATCAGCTATGCAGTCTATGCAGTTACTATACATTGGTGGTTGCTGTTGTTGTTTACAGTGTCTCCATAAATGGTCTGAATCTGTCATTTTTATGATATATGCAGTTGTTCAGTGTTCTAAAAGCACAAATAATACCCACTATATATTCAGAAAAGCATTGTGATTTATCACATTAATGACAACATCTCAGCATATTGCTTTAGACCAGTTCTTTTCTGCTTACCCACATTGCTATATGTGTCTCTTTACAATAGGAAATGATGGCTGCTTTCGTGGCTGAGGGAAAGCAGACCAACCGTGCTCGTCTGATGCTGACTGCTGCCGTCTCTGCTGGCAAGGGCACCATTGAATCCGGATACCAGATTGCCCAGATTGGCCAGTTCGTATCCCTTCTTGATTCGTTCTAGGCATTCTGACATACAATGTTACAACAAGCTGACTACAAAATCCATCTATTCTCTACATAGGGTTCTGGACTACTTCCATGTGATGACCTATGACTTCCATGGATCTTGGGAGGCACAGACTGGGGAGAACAGCCCTCTGTACCAGGGACCAGCTGACCAGGGATCTTACATCTACTTCAATGTCGTACGTGTACCTTCCATGCACATAACCAGAGTGAAACTATTCTCTGTCTGAATTCTGTTGTGTTCTAAATGCCTTCCTCCACCACTTCAGGACTATGCCATGAACTACTGGAAGAGCAACGGCGCTCCCGCCGAGAAGCTGCTTGTTGGTTTCCCCACCTACGGACACACCTTCATGCTGGCCAGCTCTTCCGAAACTGGTGTCGGAGCCCCCAGTAGAGGACCTGGCCCTGCTGGAACCTACACTAGACAGTCTGGATTCTGGGCTTACTATGAGGTGAGGCTTTTACAAAGAGTACAGCTAAGTGTCTTGAAATGTAATATCTTTCAAAAAAGCACAAAAGAAGGGTTCATAAATGGTCTACAATTCTGGAAAACCTGTAACCTTTCTTTGGCTTTATCTTGTATTTTAATATAATGTTCTCTTCCTAGATCTGTACTTTCCTGTCTCAAGGAGCCACTCAGGCATGGGATACTCCCCAGGATGTGCCATATGCCTACAACAGCCAGAATGTCTGGGTTGGCTATGACAACATTAAGAGCTTCCAGATCAAGGTAAAGCTTCTAATATTTTTATACCATTCATAAATTATCCACTTTGGTAAAACATATAAACTTTGAGGTCTGTCAACATCTTGTCAAGTACTTTTCATTTCCAATGTCCCACAGATTGACTGGCTGAAGAAGAACAACTTTGGAGGTGCTATGGTGTGGTCTCTGGACTTGGACGACTTCAGTGGTACCTTCTGTAACCAGGGCAAATACCCTCTGATCAACACCCTGAAGAGTGGCCTGGGAACTGGCCAGAGTGAGTCACTTAGAACATATTAGCATCTGTATATTACTCTTCAAATGTTTGGAATGACTCATCACAGCATCATTTTGTCGATAATAATAAAATATACAATGTAGATTGCAATATTACAAGTCAAACACCAAAAGGTACTTACTTTTTTCAGATAAAAGATGTTTTATTCAATAGCTAATGTAGTTTGGGACCAACATCAAGTAATACATGATGAATAATACTGTAATTATCTATTTATTATAGCTTCAGACATGTTATCCGCCTTGGGATCACCACTTTTTAAATCCGAGGCATTTTAGATGATAATTATGTCTTTCTCAGTCATTTTATAATCATATACAGCTCTGTCCATCATTCTGAATTCATCAACCAAACTGGTTTTATGTTACTCAAAACAATGATTCCAAATTATTGAATAGTAATTTCAAACTGTAACTAATAGTAACAAAGGACAATCGTATTACTTGTTCTAACACTCCTTCACCTTCTCTTCCTCCACTGCAGGTTGCTCTGCCCCTGCCAACCCCCTGCCCCCTGTCACAGCTGCCCCAGCTCAGCCTAGCAGTGGTGGCAGCAGCGGAAGTAGCAGCAGTGGCAGCAGCTCTAGTGGAGGCAGCGGCTTCTGCGCTGGCAAGGCTAACGGACTGTACCCCGACCCCACCAACAAGAACAACTTCTACAGCTGCAACCAGGGCAAGACCTACCTTGAGCACTGTGCCACTGGCCTGGTCTTCGACGCTAGCTGCTCTTGCTGTAACTGGGCTTAAATCCTCATCTAGAACTTAGCGTGCTGGCAGGCAGCTCTTGATGTGATTCGTCTAATTGGTGCTTAGTTATGTTAGTCTCAGTTCTAAAATAAAACCAGCAAACCCTGGCTCTGTCTCCTGTCCTTATTGTTTTGTATGTTGCTTCCATCAAAACATAATTAAACAAAATTAATAATTGTAAGTATGTACCATCTAAGGTGTAGTATATGACCTCTGATCATGTTCTTCATATCCACTGAGAGGGAGTCAATTTAATGTGTCCATTTTTATTACAAATACCAAACAATTGCTTTTGTGCTTACGATTCAAACAAAAATGACACTAAAAGAAACACTGGAGACCCAAAAACACTGATTTTAACAGCATTCAAAAAATCATTCATTTCAGACAATAAAAAATACAACAAGAATTTTAAACAGAAGCTTGACATTATATACATAATTGAATAAAATGAAAATACTTGACTGCTGAGACCTAACTACAATAGTACAGCACCACAGATGGGGCCATCAGCCACTTCATAAGGAGCACCATTCTTGTACTGGGCTTTCAGAACAGCATGGATTCAATGAGGTGCTGGAAACAGTCCTTCAGGATTCTGGACTATGTTGACATCATTTAATTGCAGCAAATCTCATCCTACCATCTGCAGAAATCCCAATTCATTAGATCTTTAGTTGTCCAAATAGGGGGAGCCTGTGCCCACTGAAGCCTCAGATTCCTGCGCTTGGCTGAGAGGAGTGCAGTTTAACAACTACTATTGTAAAAAGCAGACAGTGGCTTCAAACTTAAAGTTTTAAATGTTAAACACGAGGACTACTGATGTCAGGCTTAGTAGATAATCCCATTTTGAAAGAGGGAAGAACAGTAAAGTAGCTTAAGTAAGCTCATGGCGTCACAAGCCTACAACAGTGCAAGAAAAGTACAGAGCAGTACTCCAGTGTTGGACAGTAAACTACATGACTGAAAAACAGAAAACATAGATCTTGCTGTACATAGAGGTGACTGTGTGTGTTGGGCTGGTGCAGATTTACAGTATGCCCATATTTCTTAGGACTACACAACAGCTTACTACATTAGCTGCGTTCCAAAGCCTAGGCTGCAGCCGAGGTAGGGCGGGTCCTCGGTAGGACGGTCCTATGAAAACTACTCCTTAGTAGCCTATTGGTCACACAAATGGAACAGTCTTAATGAGGATGCGTGGTGACGTCACCACAAAGGTCCCACTTCTTGGAATTGCGTCGTGAAACTTGTGAGGGAACTGGTAAGAGAAAATGGAGTCCGTTGCATTGTGTTTGTTGCTATGGTAGCTAATACGCCAACAAGCTTATGTAATATGATAAACTACATGTATACAAGTACCTCTGATTAAAATACAATATATGGATGAATGCTTTAATCAATCATTTTACAGTTTAAGGTAACAAAGACGAATTCAAGGGCGCAAACAACTTGCATTTTAAAACAAGTTCTGCTCCAACAGCTCTATTTTCCGACATTTTCATGGTGCTGTTTCTGTTCCTTCGCGTTATTCGTGTGCAGAGAACTGTGGGTAACAAAGGCCTGGAAGGATACATCAGTTGCAGTTGCATGTTGGACTGGTTTAGAAATTATAGAAAGGCTGTTTCCACCAAAATTTCTCATGTTTGGCCTTGCAAGACTAATTGCATGACTGCAGGTGTACAGGTGTTTCTAATAACGTACTCAGTGATTGCCTGTTGTGACACCAGACATGGGGTGTTTTTATATTAATAGATCATAATTCTATAATTAGTTAATTTCTATAAGTGAGTTGCATGCTAGATGTTACTTTTCATATAAAAACCTTGTGATTTTTTCACTTTCCAGTTATTTCAGACTGAATCTGTGAAGACAGATTGTAATTTCCTCCAGAAAGGTATCAGAACAAGTCCTTATGTTTAAAACTTAAAACTAAAGCCAAATATGACTCAAGTAAAACTAGTTTCTAGCCAATGTACTCAAACTTTTGACTGGAATTGTATATTGGAGGCATAATAGGTGATACTGTACAGTCCAAAAAGTGTTGTAAACTTTACAGCTTTAAACAAGCTGAATAAAAAAATGTACAAAATACAAACATTTACAAACAATGGTATCTTACAGGCGGGTGCTATTTTTGTTTGAGATCACATAGACATTTGTGTCGTTCATCCCTGCCCGGCCATAGCGTTCGTTTCTGTGGCATTCCAGGTAAGGACCCCAGTCCTCGGTGGGGGAGCACGCTGACTTGAGACGCTACAAGAAAAATGAATCATGAAACTGGAGCAGAAGAACATATAAACTCTTAATGTGTTTGTGCTATTTTTATAAGATGTATTTATGTCCCCTCTTACCTGCCAGGGGTTTCCGCTGGCCTTCACAAGCTTCCAGACTGCCACAATTGGGATCCACACCAGGCAGAAGACAGTCATGCACCAGCCCAGAGCAATACCCCACTGTGGATACTCAACCGAGCCATATGTGGGCGCTGTGAATGTGTACAGTGACCAGCCAAGAATGACCTGCACAAACATAACTGTTTAATAATAATAGAGCTTATTTTATTTATCTAGCACCTTTCATGTTTACAAGTGGAGCCCAAAGTGCTTCACAGTGTGTGTAAATGAAACATAAAATGCATAAATGTTTAATAAAGCTAACAAAAAGTAAAAGCTTGTATCTTCAAAATGGTAACTTTCTAGGAGAAAGAAAAAACATTTGTAACTAATTGAAGTCAATGTAAGGTTTTTTCCAAGTAATTTTGGAATATTTCAAATGGCCCATTCAACATGAAGTTTTAATTCTGTTCTAATTGGCTGTCGCCTCATTCAAAAAAGCAGTCTGGGCTGTAACACTCCTTATAACTTCAGTGTGAATGGACAGAGCTAAACTGCTGTAGGCTGGATAGGTGAATATACATAAATGCATTTGTTTTTGTGATGCCACAAAATACAACAACTTTTTTGGGGTACTGATGCATGTGTTCATGTGCTTTCTAGTAAGTGTGTCCCATTTATTAAATGTGCAAAAACACAGTGCACAAGACCACACCTGAGAGTCAAAATGGTGTCTGTTTACAAGGAAAGTCCCGCCCTTCAATAAAATGAACCTGCGCATCCGCAGTAGCCAGAACAAGCTGAAAAATCACAATTTTTGTGTGTTATTTGAGCCAAATAAGCTATTTTTTCCGATTTTATCAGTGATTTCAAATCTGTCTTTTAAATGTTTATGTGGCTTTTAGTTTTGGTTTCATACGTCTCTCCCCATTCAAAGAGAGAGGAACCTGGCCTTGTATGAGTGGAATTAACTGCCCTGGCGCATTGCCAAGATGGCCGTTGAGCAAACAGATTTTCCTGTAAGGACTTTGACTACACTAAATGACTCACACTTCCCTAAAGACCACATCAAAGGTGTATTGGGATAAGTATCGATCCCATAGTTCAAAATAGTTCATAGTTGCAAAAAGTTTTATTTCTTATGTAAAAATGTTAGTTATAACGTCAAAATTCTGATTTTACTAGTAGGAATTATATTTTATAGTTTATTATATCTAGATTTTAATTTTCCAGTTATCCATGGCTTTTCCCAATTACTTTTAAAGTGAGGGATAAATTATAAATTTACCTAAATTCAATTTTTTTGTGAAAATTATTGAAACGTAAAGTAAAAACCTCTGTTACCATTCTTCCTATTTTTACACTTTTAAGAATTTAATTTGAACACGTAATGATGTATTCATTTTTTTTTACCAGTCTTAATAACATTTTCACTCATTTAAACTGAATTTCTGATACCAAGAAACCATGGATTAATAGTTGACTGACAAATAGTAATTAACAGAGCACCAGTATATGCTGACAGCTGTCAGTTCAAATCCTGCATAAGGCAAATGAATGTTACTACCAACATGAGCAGTATGCATTTGCAAGGTTGTTGTGAGAGGTTGAGTTTATAGTATACGCACAAGGAGAACGACAGGAGTGATGAAAAACCAGCAAGCTCTCCACCAGATCCAAAAGAGGGCGTGCTTGGTTCCTATCATCATCTCAATGTCTTTGATGAACCGGTTCCCACCTGAAAGCAGAATTCCAGATCAGGAATAAAGGCAGGCCAGTGTGGGACGAGCTCAGCAAAACAACATTTGAAGCCATAAACTGACCATATATGCAGGAGAGCCCAAAGACTTCCAACAGTCCAGCAACCAGAAGAATCCATCCGGCACAGAAGGTATCTATCAGATTCACCCAGTATATACCAGCCTTTAGAAAGAGCGTTTTATTAGTAATGTTGTACGACATGTTCCATTCAGTTCCACAAACTTCATTTTTTGCATTTTTTTAAAAGGTTTATCTTCCTTGTTTATCCATTATATGGACAAGAACAGATCCTACTTTATGTATTATACTTCAGTTTATTTGAATATTGCATGGTGAAAGGTCACTGAAAAAAAAGGTACTTACCCCAGTGACACAGGGCAAGCCAAGCAGGAAGAGAACTATGCAGATGAGAACAGTAATGAGGCCTCGTTTGGCTTTCAAGAATTTAGGATAGGCATCCTGGAGACATGTTGTGATGACCTCTGCCGGATATATCACATGTTAGTCAGATGTTTGAAGGGGGTCATTCACATACTGCAGGAAGTGCGTCCAGATAGTAGCAACATATTGGCCGGCAAGGGCCACAACAAGGCCAAAACTGACATCAAAACATCATAAATCTGTTTTCGTGTTCAAAAACTAGGTCATGTTAATTATTTTAAATTGAGCAAATGAAGAACATCCAGTTGGCTTTACATAGGCAACTTTAGTTGCTTTAGACCTACATGAATCCAAATTGCAAAAGCAGGGGTGCACAACTCCAGTTCTGGAGGGCCAGTGTCCAGCACAGTTTGGAGGTTTCCCTACTCAAACACACCCGCTAAACATGCCAGTTAGCAGACAAGTTTAATCAGCTGTGTTTGTGTGGGTAAATCACCAAACTGGACACCGGCCCTCGGGAGCTGTGCACCTCTGATGTAAAGCATCTTGCAACTCACTTAAAACTCAGTTGCAACAGCTGCAAGCATTTTGACTTTTCATGAAACAATCCAATCAAAGCCAATCCAAACGATGATAAAACCATGTCATCACGTCAATTGATGTAATTTAAAACAACTGATTTCGGGCAAGAAAATAAAACAGATGGTTTATTGCCTGGTTTAAAAGGAGCCCCCCCGCCTCCCAGACTGGAGTTTTTCATTTTGTCAGTTTCCAGATCCATGACAAAAAATTTGACTGTCTTGAAGCTAACATTTCTCTAACCAGCTCCATTGACTAGCCAGCTAATGCTAACAGCTGCTTAAACGGCTGCTTGAGCCACTGTTTTTCTTCTTAAGCTTGCTGGTAGCGTGATGTACATTGCTAGATTTGTTTTCTCCTCTTTTGATGTCCCTTAACTTTACATACAGCTCAGATCCAAAGGATGAACATAATCGCAGTAGAGGACACAGAGTTGCTTCTGGTGCTTCTAGCACAAGTGAGACATTAAGTAGGCCATAACAATAATGGCTACTTAAACATTAATTTGACGTAAAACAGATACAAATTTCAAATATATGCTGCATCTCAAACTGCCATACTACACATACTACACTAATAAATACACTGCTAATGGTGCTATTTTTAACATACTATTTGGTATGGCAGTGCCCCACCCAATAGTAAAAACCCTAGATAGACAGATAAAAGAAAGATATATAGATATAAAAAAAACAGCAGTGAAGGCAGGAAAAATATACAAATATGATTAAAATGCTTCATATATGTAAATAACACCTCGTGGATGACTTTATAGCAACAATGATAGAGTGTACCAAAGAACACCTGGCAATGATGTAGTGTATTAAAAAAACAGTTGACATATATGCACTTTCTACTGAGCGTATGTACCTGCTCGGCAAGGAAATGTCTCTTTTTTTGTTTTTTGTTTTTGTTGCATTGCGTTCTCAGATAATCTCACCTATTCCTGCAAACTGGGAGTCCAAACCGAGAGTTATGAGCATGAAGAAGAACAGGATGGACCACAGAGGGGATATGGGAAGTTTGGAGAGGGCATCAGGATAAGCAATGAAAGCAAGTCCAAAGCCTTAAATAGAGAGGATAAAAGTCACTACCTGGTGTGAACAAGTGGGTTCAAAAATAATAGCATGCTTAATGCTACAAAACAGATCAGTTGCATCTTAGTTTTGGTTATTTGGTTATTGCCATTAACAAAAAACGTTCACCGTTATTAGATTTATACCATCTTTTTTTGTAATAAATTATATTAAATACATTTAGAATTTAGTGGTGGTGATAGGAACCAGATGTCTCAAGTGCTTAATGCCTCTAAAAGCTTCTTCACAGAAAGTTATTACATAAAATGGTTCAAACCTGGTGCCTGATGACTGAGACATTAGTTTACGATAGTTTTGATATCTGATATTTTGATATTTGATATTTTAGAGCGGGGCGTGAGACTGCATCCTTGTCCCATGGTTAGATTCCATTGTTTTGAGGTAAATGTGTCAAAAAATCATTGTGTAACATTAAGAATTTTCACTACCGAAACACATATTTTCTGCAATTAAGTAAACGTTGTTGTGTTTTAATGAAAAATATTATGATTTTATGTATCTGTTCAAAGATGTGTTTACTCATTAGTGTTACGTTTTTGCTGTTTTTTCAGAGTTATGTGCACTTACCAGCCTGTGCCACCTCCGAAACTGGCTTGCCATAGACATGCGCCATGTGTCCGAGGATGGAGAATATGGCAAAGCCAGCAAAGATGCTGGTGCTGCAGTTTGTGATGCACACAATGATGGAGTCTTTGTAGCAGTTATTATGAAATTTGTTGTAGGAAGCTAGTGCTGTTAAACCACCCCATGCAATAGACAGGGAGAAAAATATTTGAGTGGCTGCATCCTTCCAGACCTGTGTGATGAAAGAAAGCACACTGAGATGACAGGAAAAGCTTATTAGGAAAAAGTGACAAAAACAAAAGCTGCACTATAAACTGGGGGTAAATCTAACACTGAATCTTGATGCTTGCCTCAGCTTCAGCCAGTTTGGTGAGGTTAGACTGGGAGCCGATGTAATACTCAATGCCGTTTCTTGCACCTTCCAGAGTGACGCCACGTATCAGCAGGATCAGCAGGACAGCATACGGAAACGTGGCTGTGAAATACACCACCTGAATGTATACACACAAATCATATATCACACAGAGTGGCCCCAAAAGTATTTTAACCACTGGTAACCTTTAGCACAACATCAAACTGATGGTTAACTCTGTGTGGAGAAAGGCTTCAGAAGAATTCCATCCAGATCGGACAAAGAGTTCTGTAGAGCACAGAGGTGGAAATGCCAAAGTCTGAAGATGTTTTTCTTACAATAGTGTCGGTAAGTTTGTGTTCATTGATGAGATCATGGAGATGCAAACCTGCAGAATTCTGCAAAGAAACCTCTCAAACAATACTGACCTGAAACTGAAACCAAATGAAAATTACGGCCTTTGAATGGTCTGTTTGAAATAAATGCCACTTAGTTTTACATTTTGCTTGCTAACGCAATAAATGTAATACATTTTTAGGTATGACGCCTATGAATGATACTTTTTAAGGCCACTGTATATCACTAATCAGATATTGTGGTAGGAATCGTAACACCCACCTATTCCATCAACCAATCTTTAATGCATTACCAGTGATTTGTTATCATTACCAGTTTTAAAAAGCAGACTGTATGTGGTATTTTTTTGCTATTTACACTGTTTTACTGATTTATTTATTTATTTATTTATTTATTAGGTGAGAGAGGGGCACAATCTAAGGTGTCGTCAAAAATACCCAGATGTTTAACATGCTCATAAAGGCCCGAGAAGAACATACTTTTGGCCAGTGTCTCATATTCCCATATTCACTGGTCAATTTTGGCAGCAATTGTGCAATATTTGATTCACCAGGAGTTGTTTTTGTACCATAAAGTAACACTTTTTGTTCCAACGTAGTACAAAAACAAGTCCTCATGGTGAATCTTAACCAAACATCTGTCCTATTGCTGTCAAAATTAGCCGATAATGTTGCTACAGTGATGTTATGTTTTTTGATAAATGAGTTCACTCCTATATTATTTTAATCTTCCTCTTTTGTCCGTAATATAATGCTTTCTGCCACCACACCGACCCTTTGTGAATAAGACCGGGCATGCTTGTATTAGCAAATATTTTATAGTTTTACAGTGATTCTGTCAATACCTGCTTCCACTGTTTCCCATTTCTAACAACCCACTGACTAGGCTGTTGCTTGTATTCACAATCAGTGACGTATCTAGAGGTTCCTAAAGGCCAAGAGTGACGTTTTCTCTCACAAAATTGGTCCCACCCATTGGAAATCAAAACATGATTAGTTGATTCTTCTGTTACTTCATAATTATGCATTAGGACTTCTCTTCAACTCTTGAAGTTGTAACCAATAGGAAAGGTCGCTTAGTTGTATCTTCCTAGATACCACAGAAAACAAAGAATTCCTGATTGTCCAATTTTCCCATCCTATACTTAACACTGAAACAAGAGTAGCACTGTAGTGCTTGCATAGCTCAATAAAAGCATAATTCTATTTTATAAAAATAAACCACAAATCAGAGACATGCATTTTTAAGTTCCCAGAAATCATTAGGCCTTCTCTAAAGGCTTAGAAGGCCCTGAGGGTTCCCTTCAGCTATTACTGGACAAGTAGATTCTGGACTTTTGAAGAATCAATAAGTAATATATTGGAAACACTCACTTTCCCTGAGGACTTGATGCCTTTGAAGAGAGCTGCTGCAATCAGGATCCAGCCTAGCAGCAGGCAGAGGGCCAGATGCCACACTACCGGCCCCGTCTCATCCATACTACTGGTGCGCTGCAGGGCCACCACACTAAAGGACAAAGCATTGAGGTCACTTTAAAATAATGACAGTGTTACACAAGCCTATCAGACAGATGGAAGCTGGCCAGCACAGGAACACCATTGATCAGGTGATGGACCATGCTCAGCACAGCAGTGGTCCAGACATGTCAAGCTGATATATCAGACACAGTGGTGTTGGAGTTTTAACATACTGTCTACACTCATTGGCCACTTTATTAGACAGCAACCTTGTTGATTTGCTTTGTAGGTATAAAGTTAGAATGTGCAGCTGATCTTTTTAGATGCAAAGCACCTCATGGACCTGACTTGTAACTCACTTGATCAACCACATTCAAAAAGCTAAAAAAATCTCCACAAGGGGGTGCCATTAGCAGAAAAAAGCTTTTGATGCCTCATAACAGCACTGCTTTGCACCAGTGACACTGTGCCCATGCTCCCAAATATAATTTGTGTCAGTCATCCTCTAGAAAACACCACTGTGCCTGAAACACTCATATCAGGACAATGCTCCACTACCCAAATAACATCTGGTCAGTAGTGGTCCTGTGGTGGTCCCTTTCCATTGATGGATGGGGTAGTGAATGCAGCAGCGGATGACATACAGTTATTTAAGATATATCTGCTGATTTATCTTCCCACCTACAGCGCATCCTTAAAATGCATTTTTGCTGCTGCTTCCCACTACAGAAGCATATACAAATGAGTGGATTGGTTGAGTGGAAGCATGTTGATTGATTGGCTGGACATTGCCCCACTAAATGAGCCCCCTTTGTATTTTCTTAGAGAAGTACATGTATCCTAAAGTCTGAAATTCAGTGTGTGCCTGTCGCTTAATACATTTTCTGCAATGAAGTAAACGTTTTTAGTGTTTTAATGTAAACTAAAATTTTGATTTTATGTGTGTAAATCTGTTCAAAGCTATGTCAGCTATTCATGTACTGGCTAGCGTTTAGCTTAAACTGTCACTACTGAAACAGTCACTACCAAAACACTTGGTAAAGTTTCGGTAGTGTTATGATTGTTTCGGTAGTGACAAAACAGACTGTTCAACCATTTATTTTAATGAAATAAGCATAATTAAGGTACAGGGTCAAAGGATTTTAGTCTAAAGTCCAAGTCAGTTAAAAGTCAAAAATGTGTTTAACCAATTAGGTAGAATGATCTATATACACACTCATGCATACACAGACATACATGAAGTATACTCACTCCCAGTAGCGCTCACTGGGACTCTGTAATAGCACACTAACTGAGAACTCTTCTAGACAGCTCCGATTCCCATCAGTCATCATGCTCGTGTTCACAGCCATTAGACTCCCATTGTAAGCAGTCATATTGCAATGTTCTGTTGAAAAGTGAACAGTTTTAATGAGGTATGCTGGAATTGTTTTTTGCTTGAGCAATGAAATGGCAGAACCCACAAGAAAGAAAAACTGGAAAAGAGATCTTAATATCTATGTAGTTTCTCCTAGATAACAAGAAGATCAGATGAAGAGACAAAGGAGACTTTTGCTTAAAGGTGCATGAGTCAAAATAAAAGGATACACAAACTCCTAGTGGTTAAATAGGTGAGCTACAACAACGCTGGAACTTTTTTTTACTCTTGCCCAACAACACAAAGTTCGGAAGAAAAACTGACGGTGCCCAGCATCAAGTTCATCTGGAGTTTGCCAGCATTACTAAGCATTGCCATGACATCACTTCCTGGTGATGAGGTAGGCTTTTTATTAAAGGTTTTGCCTTTCTTCATTGTTTAGATATATATGATAAAAGTATGTCATTATGCTAACGTTGCTCGAGATGAGATCAAAATACTTTGTAAAACCTTCAGCTCAGTAGAACACATTGTGTGCCATCCTTTTCCATAGCTTAAACAACAATTTGTTACCACAAGCTGTTAACAACAGTAAATACCATGGCTATGGACTAATTTATCTCAGGGTGGTTGTGCTTGCTTTCAGGAACCTAGCTAAAAGATGTAAGCATAAACAAAGGGCTACAATACTGCTGTCTCCCGGCAAAGTGTTGATTTATTTTACTTGCCAAATTATGATAACATGCCATTACATTTCATTTAATCAGAGAGTCGTTTCATCTGGTCATACTATTCAAGTATTCTCCAAGTACCTACAAGTAACTCCCATGTCTCTTTTGTCCGGGGGGCATTCCAAAGCTACAAACTTATACACACTTGGCACTTGGTTCACACCGATCTGCTGTTCAACAATAGTCTAGAGTGTCTTTGCTGTTTGTCTTTGTAATGAGCTGTACTGAACCAAATATCACCTCTACAGCAGCATTTAAGGTGGATAGAAAACACAGAATAAGAAGCCAACTTTGGCCTTGTTTAGTTTAGTTCTGACTACATCTCTCTGAAGATGATTCATCCAAAGCATTACCTTACTTGGCTCTCTGAGTAATTAATATTTATCTACTTGATTGGTATGTAATGTCGGTCACTCAACTCTTGTACGTTTACATACAGTGGTTCTGATGAAAATTCTTACTTTGCTGAAATGTTCAATCGTAGTGCATATTTATAAGTAGTCCCCTACATAAAACTATAAGTAGGATATGTATATCCCTCCTGAATTTAAAGGCCCCTTTCTTTTTTTGTCTAATGCTATACCTCCTAAGGAATTTTAGGATAGTAACCATTAAGTCCCCTATGCCACAAAAGAGCAACATATTAAGTATAAGTGGCACTGGACGTGTCTATCAGTGGCGGATGGTAATGTGTTTTCCAGACATTTCTTTCACAAGGAAATTCCACAAAGGTGATTTTTGTCTAGGTTCAATATGAGGAGCAAAGTTCCTTCGCGTAAACCAGGCCCCAAGGAATGCTGTTTGCTCATGCACGATAAGATGTGAGAGGAATGCTTAACCTTTTTTCCTACAAACAGACGCCCATTGGTTTGTGGTACTTGTACATCTTAGCTAACCTGTCTGGTTTGATTTTCCAGCCATGGAGAAAAAAAAAAAGTGCTTGACGAACCTCTAGCAGTGATGTTGCAGTTCGTGTCAGACCTGCTTGAGCAATCGCTCCATGGTAGTGGGTACTGAAATGATGCAAACAAGTAGTAGATACTATATGCGATGATGACATTGTAGTAGATTGACACAAAAGTGCTGACAAGCATCATGGTAATGCCAACACCTGCAAAAAGACACAAGGCCATTTAAAATACAGTCAGTATTATTTGTCCATACTAGAAGGCTGTCACTATTACATATTGATAATTGAGTACTGACTATTTTGAAGGTTAATCAAGTAAAAATAACACACACACACACACACACACACACACACACACACACACACACATATATATATATATATATATATATATATATATATATATGATGAGCCAAAACATTATGACCACTCACAGATGAAGCAAATTATAATTAATTATCTTGTAACATCACCACATGTCAAGGTCTGGGATATATTAGATTGTAAGTAAACAGTCGGTTCTTATAGTTGACATGTTGGAGGTGACAGAAATAAGCAGGCATGAACTGAATTGTTATGGCCAGACTGAGTTGGCGCACAAGGGTCATCGATGCGCAAGAGTAACAAAGGCTATCCTGTTTCTACATAAACCTATACACTTTATGAAGTGTATATATTTTTTATAACCAGTTTCCTCTTTAGACTGAATGATTCTCCCTTTCAAGCAACATATTGTTTGTACCATCATTATCTATAAAAGGAAATGAAAACACACAGATGACAGAGGATATCAAGCGATTACTGATTAGACAGTAAAGAGATTGCGTCTTACCCTGGAAGATTGGCACGGCTTTCCAGACGTTAATGGGTCCTTGGCTGCAGAACTGTCCGAAAGAGCTTTCCATGAAAAAGAGGGGCAGCCCCGCAACAGACAGCATGATCACATAGGGGATCAGGAAGGCCCCTGAGAAAAGAGAATCAAGGGACAGTTAGTATAGTGAAAGAATCAGAATCTTAAGGGGGCCCTTAAGAACCTCTGGGTAATTACTGTAACATTATGCTGTCTAAGATGCTTGAGTGAGGAGGAAAAACAACTAGTTAATCATGTCTAAAAAAAACAAACGCACACATCTGGAGCTGAAAAATGGAGAAGAAAAAGAGAAGATTAGAAAAAGCTTAAAAAGTATGTTTTTTTGGGTGTTAACTTTATGCCATTTGGCTTGAAGTTAGACATAGAAGTAGTGGATCTGGGGTTTGACTAACAAAGCAGTTCAACTTAGACTTTCTGACTAAGTTTCAACTTTGAAAAGAAAAAAAGATGTGGTTGATGCATTTTATGACTTTCTCTGTTAACCCAGGTTTAGATACACAGGCTGTGATTTATGATGAATGTCACGGTTATGACTAATAGTCAATAGTGTGAAACAAGAGGAGGAGTTGCCAGAAAAGGTAAAAAATCATACCTAAATGTGTATAAAGTAATGCATATACAACGGTAAAAAACAACGCTGTCACTTCTGCCACCAGGATTAGGTCCCACTAAGCTTAAAGTTAGCTGAGTTAAAGCATTTGGCCTTCAGATCTTGGTCACACTGGACGCGTGTAAAATGTGCCTGACGAAAAAGCCAATTTACTTGTATGGGAAAGAATGTGAGGATGTGAAAAAGGAATCTGCTTCTGGTAGCATTAATTTGTGCTTTGCACTGAAGTTTACTGAAGTTCGACAGCCAGTAGAAAACAAAAAGGCGAGCTGCATCATCTTCTTTCTGAAAAATACTAAACAGAGAAACTCTTTCTCAGTCAATAACGTTGCTTGTCACTTACAGTTACAAAAAACAAACTATAGTCGCCTGACGTTGGCTCCACCCCCACAAAGTAAATAGTGAGGCGATGGTCCGGTGTGACTACAGATTCTGATTGACAATGTTGAGAAAGTTATCTGTAATTTGTCATTTATTTGAATCCCAAATGAGCATCCAATCATCACCAATACACAACTAGCCAGGTATACATGTAGATAATGTAGAGAACTTGTAGTAGTCATTATAGCTAGCAAGCTAGCTTGAAGACCTGCAAAAAATCCTGTTTAGGGCCCCCAAAAGGCTAGAGCTGGCCCTGAGTTCAGACTTTTCGGTTTGGTTCTAACTGGTTCTGAACACCATCACACATAATTAAATGGTTAAGATGTAAATAAATATATCCATTCTAGAGAAACCTGCTGAATCAGAATTGCTCACAGCAGTGGTGATAGGAACCAGGCATCTGAAGAATTTAAAGCTTCTGCCTCACAGAAAGCTAGTACATGATGGTTACAAGTACACTGCCTGATGTCTGAGACCTAAAATGTATGTTGTTTTTTAAATTCATTCATAGTGGAGGGGTACATGCAGGGTGTTATAAGGCAAAATAGTTCCCAATGAAAACACATTTTTTGGATTCATCACTGTTTTAACATATTTAACATTACATATAAGAACTGAAAAGACACACAGTAGGTTCACTGTACATTTTGTACAGTAAATCAAATGGCCATACACTGATTATCTATAACATTATGACCACCTCCTTGTTTCTACGCTCATTGTCCATTTTATCAGCTCCACTTACCATACAGGTGCACTTTGTAGTTCTACAATTACAGACTGTAGTCCATCTGTTTCTCTGTATTCTTTGTTAGCCCCCTCTCACCCTGTTCTTCAATGGTCAGGACCTCCACAGGACCACCACAGAGCAGGTACTATTTGGGTGGTGGATCATTCTCAGCACTGCAGTAACGCTGACGTGGTGGTGTGTTAGTGTGTGTTGTGCTGGTCTGAGTGGGTCAGACACAGCAGTGCTGCTGGAGTTTTTAAACTGACTGAGAATAGTCCACCCACCACAAATATCCAGCCAACAGTGTCCTGTGGGCAGCGTCCTGTGACCACTGATGAAGGACTATAGCCATGGTCTCGAGCCGTGGTATAGGGGAGCTACCATCCTGCAATGCCTAGTTCCAACCCCAACCTGCAAACTCTTGCTCCATCTAATTAACATCTTCAGAAGTTCCTGATTGGCTAGACCAGATGCATTAGTGTTAGGTAAAGGGAGAAATGCAGGTTGGAACTAAACTCTGCAGGAAAGTAGCTCTCCAGGATCAGTGTTGGAGACCACTGCACTAGAGGTTGGCACAAACTGTGCAGCAACAGGTGAGCTATTGTCTTTGACTTTACATCTACAATATGGACCAACAAGGCAGGCATGTCTAATACAGTAGACAGTGAGTGGACACAAATGAAAATGGAAAAATGAGTTGAAGTGTTTAGCTCATTCCATAAGATGAACCTGCTCGCTTACCTCCTCCGTGTTTGTACGTCAGATAGGGAAACCTCCACACATTTCCCAGCCCAACTGCATATCCAATCATAGAGAGCAGGTACTCTTTCTTACTGCTCCAGTTTCCCCGGTCTGCATTCTCATCTCCACTCCCAACATTGGGGTCTGCATTCTTCTCCTACAGCAGTAACCAGGTTAGTGTGGATTATTACAGGATCAACCGACAGACATGGAATCTAAAGCATTAACACACAGACACCTGCTCCAAGTTCTCTGTAATTAAAAATATTCAGCCTTTAATTTGCAACTGTGAACACACAAAGCAGCATTTACCTCGTCAGGCACTGCAGGGTTTTTAAATACTAAATCCGAGATGTTGTTCAACCCGTACTTCCTCATTTTCCTCATAAAGCAGCAATGAAAATCCTGGACAGCATGAATGAGAATAAAAACATTGCCTCCAGCGATGGAGTTTTATACCCACCCTCCTCCTCCTCCCTCCTCCTGAGGGCACACATTAGGCTCGGCCATCTATGACAACACCTCACACTTGAGATCTTTACAGATTTCCTGGGAACTAGCTTGTGACCTAATAAATCAGCCGAGAAATATTTTCCTGCTTCAATAGAACTTTTAACAGTCCTGCTAAGAACATGAAGGCAATGTTTTAAAGATAAAACCAATAATAAACACAGGCGGCTCTATTCAAGTCGCTTTACACTGTTTGCACCACTCTTGCCCAATGGATGGTTCCCTACAGAACCTTCATGTAACATAAAGGTTGTATAGCAATTAAAGGGAAATTCCACTCATTTTTCAAAACATCTGCATAAGTCAGTGGTTGAGATGTAAACAAAGTCATTCAGGGTGGTTTGGTGTGAGATGGTTCATTTTAGATAAACTTATCAACACAGATTTCTTTACAGTGGTGGTGATAGTAATCAGGGGTTGCGATGTGCACAATGTAAATATGGCCATTTTACCTTCTATCCAAAACCATCAGTGAACCTACACATGTTCTGAGTGTTTATATGTAATCTTGATGATGGTAAAATAGTGGTACATCTGAAAAATTAAGATCTTTTTGGGGGACCATTTTGCCTTACAGTGCCCTACATGTACCCCTCGGCCATGAATGCATTTTAAAAATATGTTTGTCTCAAAACTGTCTCATCAAGCAATGTATTTGGAACCATTTTATGTTAAAACTTTCTGTGAAGGAACTTTCAGAAGCATTGAAATCTTCAGAGGTCTGGATTCTCTCACCACCACCCCTCGTAAGTTTCTCTAAAATGATGCATTTTACCTCAAACCACTCTGAATGACTTTGTTTACATCTTAAATATTTAATTATGCAGAAATTGTAAAGAGATTTTCCTACAACTGTGCATTGAAGAGTCATTAAGTAGCCTTTATTTTTAAAAATTCATCTAAATCTCTAAACCTCGCTATGGGAGTTGATGCTAAATGGATCATTCTCATGCAGAAGAGTCCACTTTGTAGATGCCAACATCAGCACCAATGATTTACTGACCTTCTCTACTTTACTGTATCATTCTATAGCCAAGCACACCATAAAAATATTCCACAGTACGTAGGTAGGATTTTGCCTTACATTGAAGCTTGTTGTTTAGCCATTCAGTTTCCTGATCTTCATCTAAACTGAAGAACTCTCGTTTTTAATACATAACTTTGGAGGAAACAAATCAGTATTGCTTCTTATCACTACAAGGGAATGTTGTGATGTCCACCCACTGGTCCGGCATTATGTCTCAACTTCACAGTTTTTTTTTCCTTGTTTTGTTTTTCCAGAAATACCAATACTCCAACCACTGTCAACAACATTCCTGGGTTATACCCTCTACAATGCCAACAGATTCTTGCAAATATTAGTAGCTGCATTGAAATCCAACACAATGAAAGCCATGGCATTGACTCACATTCAGCACTTCTACCCTGCCACTAATGACAGGGTTAACACACACATACAAACGACCAAAATATGTCAGCTTTACATCATCAGTCATGACTCACACATGAAATGATAGTGGGTCTGTAAGGTCTTTATTAAAGCAACAGCCAGGTGTGCAGTGGTCAGGAGTAAATAATACTGTCTTCTGTAACTCTCTCTGGTGTCGATGACATCAGAATCTGAGGAAATAAACTAAGAACGAGGGTATTTTGTATGTAAATTATTTTTTCTTTGGAAAAGTACCAATATCTGGCAAATAAGGTCGAGTTATTATTTCGCCAGTTACGTCAGACAATCCATAGTCAAATGTTTCTGAGCCTAACCTTGCACTAAATTACACTGATCTCCATTTTACTGGAGTTAGTCCACACTGACAAAGAGTGATACATTGAATTTACTTTAAATATGTACATTATTTGCGCACAAATATTTTACATCAATGAAAAATTTGCCAAATTATGATCATCTCATATACTTCACTAGTATGAAAATAATAAATCTAAGGGCATCACTTGTTTCATTTTGAACACCCCTGGTCATACTACATGTTTAGTTGATTTTCTAAGTGAAAATAAGTAACACATCCTCTACAGTGAACACACTTAAATATGGCATTTTTCTGCCAATTTTAGTGCACAGTTTCTGTTTTTTTTACTGAGTTGAACATACTGGGAAACCTAAAAAAGTGCAAATTTATTTTTGCACAGACAAATTTTGTTTTTTTGTTTTTTCCAAATATGTTGAATTCAGCAAATTAACTGTAGTTGTGCAGATGTGTGTCAAATAAATACATAAAATCAATAACAATGTGTCATTTTACCAGAGCCACCCAAACTTTTGCATGTAACTGTATACAGTACTGTGCAAAAGTCAGAGACCACCACTCATTAATTTTATTTCCAGTAAAAACAGATGTTAAGTAGGAGTGATTCATTTCCCAGGAGGCATTTCTGAGATTAGATATTAGATAGTTCACTTGCCTAAGGAATCAGAAAGTCAAAGGAAATTAATTGTAAAACAATATTAAAAGTTACAGAGGAAATAGGACTCAGAACAGCCATGCAAGACCTGGTAGACCACCAAAACTGTCACCATCGGATAAACAGTACTCAAAATTTTCATCTTTCTTTATCAGACTCTTGCTTCAGGACTAAAAAATCCACAGGTGTTTCTGTCCATCCTTCCACTGTCAGAAGAGAACTCTTAAATGATATGTAGCTGTCAAGAAGCTCTTACTGAGAAAAGGAAACAGACATAAATGAAGAAAAAAAAATAAAGCTGCTGGTGTTCTCCGAACAATGGACTGACCAGCCCAGAGTCCAGAACACAGCTTCATTGAATGTGTTAGGGATTGCTTAGACTGTGAGAAGCAGAAAATGCAACCAACTTAAAAGACTGAACTTTGGAAGTGTGAAAAACATCCCTGCAGATTTCTTTGAAAAACTGAAAGCAAGTCTTCTAAAAAGAAAAAAGCTGAAATAAAGGTAAAACTAGGACACACTAAATACTGAAAACACTGAAATTATGTTTATAAATTGTTGAGGCTTCTGTGTAATATATAAAATATGTTTTTTTCTTTTTGTCTTGGCACTGTAAATAAAAACATGTACAAAGGAAGGGTGGTCTCTGACTTTGGCATATTACTGTAAATACACTATGGGTCAAAAGTTTGGACACACATTTTTTTATATATATTTTTTACATTTTAGAATAACATTGAAGACATCTATATGTGAAATAACACATATGGAATCATACAGAGACCAAAAAGTGGAAGATTCTTTTTAGAAATTAGCCCACTTTGCACTGATACGGTTCATGGTCATTCTCTGAAGTAGCTTCATGACAAGAAACCTCATGATACGAAAATGCAGTGACAAATGACCTCAAACCTCATATGTCAGTTTGAAGCAATACAAAAAACAATAGCTGACCACTACATTGCACGTGTTTGCTTGAATAACGCAGGTGAAAAATAGTACCTTGTTGGGGTAACAGGGTGGACAATAATTCAGCTCCTTAGAGAATTTCAGAAGAATTCTCTTCCTCAACTGATAAGTAGCTGATTTATGGTGCAATAAAACATGTACAAAGGAAGGGTGGTCTCTGACTTTGGCATATTACTGTAAACACACTACGGGTCAAAAGTTTGGACACACATTTTTTTATATAAATATTTTTTTATATTTTAGAATAACATTGAAGACATTAATATGTGAAATAACACATATGGAATCATACAGAGACCAAAAAGTGGAAGATTCTTTTTAGAAATTAGCCCACTTTGCACTGATACAGTTCATGGTCATTCCCTGAAGTAGCTTCATGACAAGAAACCTCATGATACGAAAATGCTTTTCCAACAGAGCAGAAAAAGATACGTACATGCTGAGACTTGCCCCTCAGTACCTGAGTGAACTTCTCTCCTACTATGAACCATCGTGCCTACTTAAATCACAAGGTGCTGGCTTACTATTAGTACCTAGAATTAATTAAATTACATCAGGGTGGAGAGCCTCTCTGTTACCTTCTGGTTTCTCCCTTTTAGTAAAGGGCTGTAATAACTTGACTTGCCGGAGTCTCTGCTGCTCTGTTAATACTGTAATCTGTGATCAGTCACTCATTACAGAACTCTCTGTGTGTTTTCCTTTCTTTGCCGAGTTGAACAGCTGCCCATTCTGTGCGTCTGATGCTGCTGCGTCTTCTGCCTTGATCAGGTGCCCACTGCTCGCCAGCCTTCTGGAATGCTTGACCACCATTTAGCTTCATGCTGTACAACGCTGTGCAAACCTCTCCCTCATGAACTGACCCTCCTGTTGATGCTGCTGCTGCTACTGCTGCTGCATAAACTAAAACTAATCCAATTAACCATTGCTCCACCTGTTTTCCCCATTTTGTACTATAACACTTTATACTAACACTGTTTGCTACCCGGTGTCAACCAGAGGAGGATGGGTTCCCATTTTGAGTCTTGATTCCTCTCATGGTTTCTTCCTCTTGCTCTTAGGGAGTTTTTCCTTGCCACTGTCACCACTGGCTTACTCATGGGGGCTTGGACCCAGATTTTTTCTGTAAAGCTGCTGTGTGACAACACCTGTTGTAAAAAGCGCTATATAAATAAACTTTGCTTGCTTGCTACCTCGTTGGGAGCATTTTTTAATTTAAATGTAATTTTTTGGTTTGAAAATAGTTTTGTACGTATGCACCAAACAAGTTTGCATTTAAGTATGAATTTAAATCAAAATATCTTCAAGTTTATGATAAATGCAAAATCATTTAGGTGTGTCCAGACTTTTGAATGCTTGTGTATATGAGCTCATGTGTCAAGTTCATTCCATAACATATTAGATCAGTTGGTCAGTGGTTTGCTTTAAGCCCCCTGTTGGTCCACACTGATGCAGGATGACGTGTCCAGTATGATGTGCATGGCAAGGTGTTATTACAGAGCTCTTTGTTTACGTGACAAATGACCTCAAACCTCATATGTCAGTTTGAAGCAATACAAAAAACAATAGCTGACCACTACATTGCACGTGTTTGCTTGAATAACGCAGGTGAAAAATAGTACCTTGTTGGGGTAACAGGGTGGACAATAATTCAGCTCCTTAGAGAATTTCAGAAGAATTCTCTTCCTCAACTGATAAGTAGCTGATTTATGGTGCAATTTCACATTCTTCAGTCAGCCGTCCAAGTGAACATGTGCTTGAGACCTTGTTCAGGCGAATTCCTTCCATTTCCAACAATAGTGAGTCAGTGGTGTAATTCCCAAACATTACATTTTGCAACTTTTTCTACTTTTGTTCATACTTGGTGCACCACAAAAAATATATTCTCATCTTAAAGGGCCCATCTTATGGAAAACAAAGTTTGATGTAGTATGTAAACACTGTTAAGTGTTATGGAAACATAGCAGCAAAAATAGCTTATTGTTTTGTGATGTCATAAAAACCCAACACATTTATTTATATATTCTATTCTATAAATATACTTTTAGGTTATAGAAGTGTGTAAAAAACCTTTGGGCCCACCAGTGTTAAGGTTAGGAAATGAGTAGAATAACCTTATAATAACGCATATCGACAACTATTGGATACGTTAACTAGGTTTAAAATGGTTTCACTTGACAAAATGTATTTTTTTTGCATTGTTGAGCAATGTCATGGTCATTCAAAATGTTGTTGCTATTGTGAGCTGTGAGCATTTTGTGTTTCTATGGACCATGGATTCAAATGTTTGGAATCACTTGCTGTAATATTCTTTCAGATGCAATAATAACCCTGAATCTTGGGGGCTCCTAAGTGGTGCAAACATCTAAGCCAGGGGTGCCCAGTCTTATCTGCAGAGGGCCAGTGTGGCTGCAGGTTTTCACTTCAACAAAGCAGGAGGTCACTGGATGAAATGTTCGAAGACTAAGACCAACTTCTACACAAGTAGAATCAGGTGTGCTTCAGCTTGTTTGGAGTGAAAATCTGAAGCCAGGGCCACACAGGCCCTTTGCAGATAAGTTTGGACACCCCTGGTCTAAGCGTTGGCCCTATCATCTGCGAGATTGAGTTCCATCCCTGGTGATGCTATAGCCATCCATAGCCGGGAGTCCAAGAGAGCACAACCGGCCTTACTCTCTGGGTCGGCAGGATGGACGCGCCTCTACCTCCATCACTTAGTGCGATATAAGTCAGCACAGGCGTCTGTTAGCTGATGTAACAGAACTGGAGGTTGGCGCTATTTATCCGAGCGCGCTAGGCTGTCCAATGACGCTGTGTGAGCGGCAGTTCTAAAAGATGCAGTGTGCTTGCCTTCATCCTCCTAGAGTTGGCGGTATCATGTGATTGGGGTCCTAACTAGTGGGTGGAATTGGATATGACTAAAATTGGGGAGAAAATTGAGGGAAAATGCAAAAACTTATCTGAATCTGTAGCACAATATAGATTTAAATATTGTAAACATCACAAAACTTGTTACCGATGCTATATGGTGGGAAGGCAACACCCTGCAAAGTTTAGCTCCACCCCTAACCGAACACACCTGATCCAGTAATGAAGGCCATTAGGAAGGTCTTATTAATGTACAGTTATGTGCTAAAGTGTAATGTTTTGTTGATTTTACAAGTGAAACTAAGTTAATACAGCCTCTACAGGAAACAAACAAATGTCATTTTTCTGTAAACTGTAGTGCACAGTTTCTGTCTATGTATCTATCTATCTGTCTATCTGTCTGTCTGTCTGTCTTTTTTGTTTGTTTGTTTGTTTACTACTTACTTACTTACTTACTTACTTATTATTTGAATTTAACTAATTGGGAAAAAAAACATAAAATCTAAAATGTGCCATAATTTTTTATACAGGCCATGTTTTCATGCTTTTTTCTCCAATATGTTCAGTTCAGAAAATAAATAGTAATTGCGCATTAAAATGTGCATTTTCTCTGTAGAGGATGTCTTAACCTAGTTTTTTCACTTACAAAACCAACAAAACATCATTTGACCAGGGGTGCCCAAACTTTTGCACACCATTGTACATGGAACTGCTAGTAAATTGGTTTCATATTCCAACCTTTGGAACAGTGGTGCATGTACTGTAACACTTTATTTGTTGTTACCCAGGATAATGCACCATGACAAATGGACCTTTTTATGATTTGCTGTTCAGGCCACTATACTGTCCTGCTGGTATATTACCTTTTACCAACCCTAAGAAACTAGCGTTGGTGCCAAAATGATGAATAGAAATTTCCTTGTTAATGCCTCGCTTTCATCATGCCAGAGAGTCTGAGTGTTTGCTCTCCACTCCTTTCTTTGGAAGTCAGTCCTTTGCTTTTTTCTCAAAAAGTGAGAGATTGCCTTTCCAGAAAGGAACTAAACAAGCAATGCAAAAAGGAAAGGTTCACCTTCATCACTCATGGATTTTTTTTTCTTACTAAAATACAGAGTACTTTTATTAACTCAGGTCAAAGGTCTGCAGACATGTCAAGAACATCAGGACCTTAGTCTTTCATAATATGTTACATGCAATACACATGCTCCTCTCCAAATGTCAGAATTCACAAAGGGTCCATTTCAAGTCACACAAGAGTGAGATGTTAACAGCTGAGAAAATAAGACAACATTTCCTTAACTGATTACAGAACAAACAGAAAAAAGAACAGAACATTTATGGAACGAGCACAAGTTTTACCATAGGATGTGTCCATAGGCCGAATTCTCCCTGGCCCAGGCAGACAATAAATACTCACAGCATTTTTGTTCAACTGCTACTCCTGAGCTGACATGACTCCAGGCAGAGCACACCTAGAGCTGACCAGCAAACATTAACTGTGACCAACTGACCACAATGTTGACAATGGCAATAGCTTGAGACGCGCACACTGACCGACATCCAGACATGCAAACATGACAAAGAGACACACACATACCTCCAGGGCCGGCTCCAGTCTTTTGGGGGCCTGAGTCTAGACTACCACATGCTGTCGACACTATATACATTTAAAACCGGTGAATTTGGGTACTGCTGATGAGTGGATGCTCATTTGGGGTTCTAATAAGTTACAGTTTAAATGACAGATGACCTTCTCAGCATTCTCAGTCGAGCTCTGACTCACCACACAAGGTTTCTTGCTTACCCAACTAACTTTAAGCTTAGTTGGATCTAACTCTGGTGGCAGTGGTGACAGTGTTGCTTTTTTACTGTTATACATGGTTTTCTTTCTACATATGTATTTCCTTCTTTGGCAGCTCCTCCTCATCTTTCACACCTTTTTATGTTCATCATAAACGTCACCAGGATCACAGCCTGAGTATCAAATCTGGATAAACAGAGAAAGTCATTAACCGCTGCTGTAAAACGTGTTAACCGCGTCTGTCTTTGTTTTGTTTTGTGAAGCTGAAACTCAGTCAGAAAGTGTGTCTACATTGAACCTGCTTTGTTAAACAAACCTCAGGTTCACTACTTCTTGTTGCCCAACTACAAGCCAAAACCCAATGGTATAACATTGCTGCCACAAAAAACTGTACATACCTTTATCTTTAAGCTTTTACTCTCTATCTTCTCTTTTTCCTTCTAGTTTTTTAGCTGTTTTTGGCTTTTTTTAGTTTTATTCTTTTTTTAGGCATGCTCAACCAGTTCTTCTTTTTCCACTCACATGAGGATCTTAGACAACATAATTGTACACTAATAACCCAGAAGTTGTTAGGGGGTTCCCTGGTGGCCGCAGGGCCCTAAGCCGCTGCTTATGTCGCTTATTAGGTAGAGCCGGCACTGCTTACATCATAGACATCACATATACAAAGTTTGCACTAAATGTACACTGGAAAAACTGATGCATTGAAAGTATTTGATTCAAATGTATACGTCATTTCCACACGCTACATCAAAACAATTTGGTCTTTCAGTTTGCTTACTTTGGCTAGTTGTATTGATGTAATATATACAATTGCCACTTTATTAGGTACATTGGATCTAAACTTATTGCCTATTTTGTCCAGTCCACTCACCATGTAGGTGCACCTTGTAGTTCTACTATTACAGATTGTTGTTCATCTGTTTCACTGAATAATTTGTTAGCCCAGCATTACTCCATTAATCAATGGTTATTATATGGTTGGTATAGTATAGTGGGTAACATGGCATGTTAGCGTGTGTAATGCAAAGAATCCATCAAACATAGCAGTGTTTCTGGAGCTTATAAACACCTCAGTGTCACTGCTGGACTGAAAAAGTTCACCACCCAAAAATATCCAGCCAACAGTATCCTGTGGCTGGAAACTGACCACTGATGAAGGACTAGAGCATGACTAATGCAAACTGTGCAGCAACAGATGAGCTACTGTTTCTAACTTTGCACCTACAAGCTGGAACAAGGTGTCTAACAGTGTGGAAAGTAGTGCCGTTTTACCACCAAGCGGTGTTGTACAGTATGGTTCACACATCTTATCATAATTTCTCCTGCCAAATGAACCGTACTGTACCTGAGTACCTGCTGCTACAAATTTTACAGAGAAACAGATGGACCAAATCCGGAATTATGGAGCTACAAAGTGCTCCTGTATGTCAAATGGACCTGATAAAATGGAGAATGAGTGTAGATATAAGACGTGTACCTAATAAGGGCCATGGTTCAGTGAGTGTGTTTTATTAATGTAAAAAATGATGCAGGGGAGAGTGGGGTCCAACTTAATGTAGTTGTATCATGTAGTTACACAGGTACAACTTCTCATATTCCCATAACAACATCATCTGCCAGTTTTGAAAGCAAGATTCTGAAGATTCATCCTGAAAACTGTGTTTTTCCTATGGAAGTTATGTATATCAGTCAAAGAATTCACAAATACATTTGCTAAATCGCCCTCTTGGTGGCTGAAATATGGCAGTTTTGAAGCGTGAAAACAAATTACAGTGAGAGTTAGCCAGGCTTCCTAAGTACGGCCTCCATTTACCACACTTGTCACAGTGTCTTTTCACTAACATTTGTATATTGTTTTTTCGTATTTAAGTTGTAAATCTTGTCTTGTTCCAACAACACAGAATTGTATTTAATTAATTGTGCTTTGTGTTGATTTACCAGATTTTTAGCAATCATTTCATCTAGCTTTTTAGTCTACAATACAATACAATACAATTACACTACAATACAATTTTTAGTTACAATAAACCCCACCTGAGGGGTGAGTGACATTTGAACTCACACCGCTTAATAATTCTTTAATGGTTTGTGCTGGAAGCAGAGATGTGTGTATAATTGCTTGTATAGAAAATGTATAAATCTAAATTGAAAACTTATTTAAACTATTTATCGAAAAACTAAATGCATCAGGTTGTGCCCTGCTCTCCCCTAAACAACCGTACTGTTTTCAGTGCATCACTTTTGCCAATGTGCAATGTCAGACTAAACGTACAAGAAAGCACATGAAAGCAAACTGGTCTGGCAAAAACAGATAAATACACCCTTACATAACATATTTAATATCTACCTAGCTAGAGTTCCTACCTTCTCTTTCTACCCTTCCCTCTGCTTTCTCCCTTCTATCCATACGCCTGCACACAGAATATACACGAACAAACCACAACGTCCCCTTGTTACGCTTCTTAAAATAGAAATATACATCAACAAAAAAGTACTAAACAAGCAGTAAATCAACAGGTCGATCAAGAAATATTTCAATATTCTGGGGAACAGAATACAGAAGAGAAGTGGACTGGACTGCCCTCTGTCTCCTGGATGGAGCAGTTACAAGTTACAGGGCAATGTCCGAGGCGAGACGGAGGCACATGGCCGATTCGGAAGGGATGTCACTACGGGTGATCTCGTTGCCCTCCAGACGCAGGATCTTCAGCTTGGAGAAGTTCATCACGTCCACCACGCTGCAGAAACTGCCCAGCGTAAACTCTGTGACAGGTTACACAAACCAACACATTAGAAATCAGAAGCAGATGTTTATGCTGCTCTAGTTAAAAAAATGAGCTCAAATCATTTCTGAAGAAAAAAAAAGTAAAGATGTGAAGCCACAAAGAGGGTCAAACTTTCACAGCTGCGTTAGTGATGCAAAGCAAAAACATCCCATGTCACCGATTACGGGCATTTTCACTCTCACCCAACTGGCAAAGTGATTCATGTACCAGGCTGTGATTCTCATTATTACAGAGTGTTGTAACATGGACGCAAATGATCTGCTATGTATTTCCCTAATCAGCGCTTAAGTGAAACCAGCCTGCGTCAAACAATAAAAGGGTTTTCATTGTAGCAATATTCACTCATTTACGAAAAACTTCAGATCTGTCATTTCAGATAAAATGTACGCTGAAAACATGTGGAGACACCTTACCTTCTTTTTTTGAAGTTTGAATTTTCTCCAAGGTTCTTTCCAATTAAGTCAGAACAAATATCTACTAAGCTTTTATTAAAGAGAAGTTCTATCAATTTTTTATTTCTGCATAATTCAATCACTGGGGTGTAAGTAAAGTGATTCAGAGTGTTTTGATATGAAATCATTCATTGTAGAGAAACTTAGCTTGGAATTCTTTTCAGTGGTGGTGACAAGAACCAGGGGTCAACTGAAATATAGCCGTTTTATTTACTATCCAAAACCACCAGTGAACCTACACACGTCTTCTTTTTTATATGTAATGTTAAAATGGTAAAACAATGGTAAATCTTTTATAATATGCTGCACCAGGCAGCATATTATAAAACATTTCATGTAATAATTGTCTGTGAGGGAGGTTTAAAGGCATTCAGACATCTGGTTCCTGTCACCACCACTTTGAACAATTTTGAGCATTGCACATCAAACCCCTCTGAATAGCTTTGTTCACATCTTAACCATTTAATTATGTAGAAATGTTTGAAAACTGCATTACTCGCAACAAAGATCCAAGAGATATTTGGGTGGTATTATTTTCATCAGAAGAAACCTGGGGGGTTGGTATTTTACAAAGCAGGATTTCTCTGTTTAGTTAGATAACTTAGGCCCAAAGTCAAGTCTGTCCAATAGAAAAAGAGCTGAGGGACATTCCGACTGGACAATCCTCATCTTTGGGCTTTTATCTGGCTAACTGGGAAATCCTGGTTTGTGGAATACCCACCTGGTCAGTCTTTAATGTAAGCTTAATGCAAAGTAACAAAGAAAAACAAAACATGATTTCCTGCACAGCCTTTTGAATCAATTATGAAAAGACTATTAGAAGGTTTGAAATAAACTTTTCTTACCACTAGGGGGCAGCAATGGAGATTGCACAAAACTCAGCTGACTATTCATGAACTGCACATGTACACACATGTGGAAAAGGGAAACAGCTGTACCTTTGATTTGATTGGCCTGTAGGTAGAGGTGCTCTAGACTGGTGCTGACTGGTGGGATCCTCTCCAGTTTGTTGAAGGAAAGATCCAGCTCAATCAGTCCACTTATATTGAAGGTGTTGGGTGGGATGCCCTTGTCTGTGAGCTCATTGTGGGAGAAACGCACATACTGCAAGTTGGAGAAGCGGTTGAGAAAGTTGTCTGGGATGGCATTGATGGCATTGGAGCCCAGGTAGAGCTGGTGGAGCATGTTGGGCAGCCCTTCAGGGACATTCTTAAGCTGGTTATTGCTGACATCAAGCAAGGTGAGCGATTTGAGGCCCTTCAGCGCCCCGCCCATGTCCTGGATGGCATTGTCGTTGAGCAGCAAGATGGTCAGGTTCTCCATTCCCTCGAAGGTGCTGGGCAGAACCTTGGCGATTTTGTTATGGTTGAGGCGGAGGTCACGCAGGGAGGCAGGCAGGCTTGCTGGAATTTCAGTTAGGTTGTTGCCACTCAGGTAAAGTCGGTCCAGCTTGGCCAGCTTGGCAAAAGCCTTTTTACCCACCGTGTTGATGTGGTTCTCGTGCAGCATGACCCACAGGAGACTGGTGGCATTTCCAAAGGCATCGTCTGAAACAGTGGGGATGTGGTTGTGCTGCAGGTAGACATACTTCATGCGAGATGGGATGTAAGGCATTTGCTTAAGTCCACGGTTGTCGCAGTACATGGCGATGGGGAAGGTTGGAGGGCAGTCACACTCGGTTGGGCAGTCTCCTCCAGTGTTGTCAGCCTGCAGGGAGGCCATAGGATGTAGCCTGTAGATCCATGCGAGCGGGTCTGCTTCCTGAGCCAATGTGAGGTGCAGGAGCCCTACCAGCAAGACAGCTGCCAGGCGCATTGTTATGAAACAGAGAAGGCTCTGCGACTGCAACAGAAAACGACCATGTACTTTAGCGGTGGTTTCCAGTCCTGCTCCTGCACATTTTAGCATTTTCTCTGCTCTAACATGCCCAATTCGACTCAGGAAGGGCTTCATCATTAGCTGATTAGTTGAATCAGGTCTGTCAGAGCTGGAAAAACAGCAAAATATGCAGAGCAGGGGTACTGCAAGACCAAGGTTGGCAACAACTGCATTAGAGACATCCAAAGGAATTAAAAGATGAAAAAATAAACAAATGTTTTCAACATAAATTTGAAAATTCTAATTGCTTACAGTGTAAGTGAACATGGGGGGAAATGATCCCCCTTAAGAACAATGTTGATTTACTGTGCCATACCATACTGTACCATATATGTCCAGTTTAGTATGTACAGAATGATACATACACCTACACACAGGAAGAGCAGCCAATTTTATAGCAGAAAAACACTGCTACTACCCCCACACCACCTTGGTGAGAAGCCCCTCCTAGTGAAAGTTTTACAGAATCTATAATTTATACGTCACACCATTATAGTCTTTTTTAAGTGTTATTAATAAATAAATTAAAGTAAAAATAGTAGATTTTAAAATGAAATTGAGGCCTCCATCAAAACAAAAGACTAATGGCAATAATATAGAAACATCTGAAACTTTTAATTCTGTCTATTACTTAAAGTGTTTGTAATTATGTTAATTACATAATATACTGTTCCATCATTTATTATTATTATTATTATTATTATTATTATTATTACACCATAACAATTAATTGTAAGTGCAAATAAGACAAATTAGACATGACAGAACAGATTAGGTGTGGATAAAAAACATAGCCTGATTGTTGTTGATCATTGCTATAAGCAATTCAGGAGTGGTCCTTTGTAATTGATGATTAATAAACTCTTAACAGATTATCAGTAAAACATCAACAACATATCAGTGAAGTAGCAGTAATGAAGCATCTGAATACATAAAGTAAATATCTTGTAGATGTTCTGTTGATACATTACTAACATTAAGTAGATTACGCAAAACCTAACCTTACCCAACCTTACCCAAAACCTAACCCTAACCCTAACCCTGGCCCTAATCCTAACCCTAACCTTAACCTCAACCCAAAACCTAATCATAACCCTCATATGTTTTTGATATGTTACTGAGAGTCTGTTGAGTGTTTGTTTCATCTAAAAGGACCACTCAAAATTAAGTGTCATCCAATTCAGATACTGGCTAGTCTTATGTTAGCTAACCAGTGAATCTCCAGTGAACAACTTTGCATCTTTATGAAGAAAATCATACTATATCATTTGTCTAGGGCAGCTTCTTACCACAAACATCTAACTGTACATTTTTACTTTAAAGGAAAAAAATATTTAATCTCAAAACTAAATGTACTGATCCCTCCATAACAACCCCGCCCCCCCCAAAAAATAAAAGATTAAAAAATTATATTTTGCTCATACTACTTCATGTAAATGCAAAGACCATTAATATCCAATGACAAAAAAATAAATAAAACAAAAACATCTGACCCTAAAATTTATCAATTCCAGGAATGCCATCATCCAGATGACATTAGATTTGCCCCCATCATTTGAATAGAGAAAATAAGTGAGAAAATAAAGGTGAGGAGGGGCAAATTTAAACTATGGGGCTTCTCTTTCCAAGTTATCCTACGTAAAATGTTTACGGAACAGAGTCCAATATGGGTGTAAATTAGAAAGAAGGTGTCTCTGTGCAAGCTCACAAACAAGGAAACAGTGTTCCCCTCCCTACTGTTATTTCATTAAACATAAAGTTGACATGAAAAAGTGACTGCAGTCATTGCTGCTAAATATTTAACTTCCCATTACATAATGAAAAAAAATCACCCAGTAAAACCACTGGCTCACTGGCATTCAGAGTGGCTCTCCTTGCAATCAAATCCAAGTAAACAAGTGTGCCTTGAAGCAGAGGAGCAAAATAAAAAAAAGCAACTAAAAACAATTAACACTGTAGTTTTACAGTTCCTCTAACATATTGCATGATCACACAGGAACACACCTACCTGAATAAGTTAAAAGGCACTCCCTCCTTCTTGTCCAGAGCCTTTGTAGCACTGTGCAGAGTGGCGTTTGCCAAAGTCTTTGTGAATACCCCCTCTCCCCTTCAAGCCTTTCGCCTCCACCCCACCTCCACCCACCACCCCAAAACAGCCCTCCCAAACTCTGTCCAATTACCGCACACTTCTCTCTCTCCATCCTTGGGCCACTCTTCACCAATGAGGAGTGGGGAACTGCCCCCCCTTAACAACTGTTCATCCACATGTTGGATTTTTGTTGTTGCAGGATCTTGCCGAGTGACCAACCTGACCCCATTAACAGGGCATCAGAGAGTCGTTTCCCCATATTGGCCTCTTTTTGTCCCATCAGAGGTGCCGACTATGTTGGCTTTTGGCTTTTGTAAAAGTCTGGCCTGGATTCAAAAAGAAGTGGCATATGTGGCACCGTCTCTTGGGCTGAAAGAAACCTAGTTTTGGGGAAAAAAACAAATATACACAATTTCCTTCTTACCCCAAACTCAATCAGCTAAGTTTAGTGTGCTGCTTTAGTTTTGCACTGGAGCTAATAGGCTAAATAGCGAATAAGGCCTATTAATTAGCATTGTGGAACCTGCATGGCTAACATTCCTGCAGGAAAATAGACAAGCACAGACCTGCATGCATTCCATGTGGTGCTGATTTAGCTGGTCACTCAGCAAGGTTATGCATGGTCGTGATCAGCATAACATAACAGCTTCCATTGCTGCTGGCTAGCACAGCAGCTTCCATAACACAGCATATGCCAGTTTTGCTGGTGACCATTTGCTGGTCTATGCTATTTTTTCTTGCAGGGTGAAATCATAATGCATTTTCTTTTCATACCATGACATTTTTCAGAGCGAAACACAATATCAGGGAGGGTCATTGAGCTCGCTAAGAGTTTTTGCTCGATGAAGGGCAGGGATGGTTCAAGGGATGGGTGAAACGTGATATTACTGATTAATATTGTTTTTTTTGCTGGTGAATGGTGATGTGATCAGAAAATCAAAAGACATTTTAGAGGAGGGTAGTCTCGCATTGCCAGATCTTGTAATGAGGACATCCAGGGATAACTATACGAAATTGTGGGCTAAATGTGGCTGGGAATGTAGACTTCTTAGGGTGGGAAGAAACTGACCAAGACATTACTAAACCAATCCAAAGCATCGTGAAGGCACAGCTCAAAGCAGGGGGTGATGGTGTGCTCGTCAACACAGTCCGACAGACTACAAGCCTGTTGTTAGCCCACGGATGTAAGTTAGCATGGTTGAAAAGCCCTCCAAAAACTCCAATCAAGCATGTAGATGCGTTTCGTATGTGCAGAGAACATGTTCCATGCATTAAACGTTACTTCTTGCAAGGGAAAAACTGTTTTGTTATGATGATGTTTTTCTAGCTAGTTTGTTTTGCTAGTATTACTGATTACTGTAGGCCTCCACAAGCAATTTGAGAGTAGGTTTTAGAGGGGTACACCTTGTTTTTTGTAGCATATATAGCCATAAAACAGTAACAACAGTTGAACAAGTAGTCTGGCACCATGAGACTAAGAAGTGGGCAATAGAGGGTGATATCAAAGATTTCAAGAAAGCAAAAATGTTGTCTTTCAAGCTATGTGGTATAATGAATTGTGCTTAATATGACCAGGAAGGTGATCTAACAAGATAAAAAATTAGTCCATTTTGATTTCAGATTGACTTTAAGTAGTTTCAGATAGACTTGATTAACACTGTATGACATAATGTTATCTATGAAAATGATAAAAACTAAAGTTACATAGTTAAAACAGTAGTAGTTATCTTGACACCTGAATTTTGTCCAAATGTGTACCATTTTGCTGGACACAAACAATGTAGGTGTCAAATTGTGTTTGACAGTGTCAATGTCAAAAAAGACTACTATGAGAGATTCAATATGATCTGCATGTTCTCCATTATAATATTGCATATACAAAAAAAAAGTCCCCAAACATCCCATAGCAACAACAACCTCTCACAGTGAACATCTCTGTTAAAGTAGCAAAACAGAGGTTGACCCTTAGCGCAGAGCTTGAGTATAATTCGTCAGAACAGGCTTGCTCTGTGCAAACAGACTTTCCACTCTCTGCATGGGACCAGGATGCAACGGTTGCCAAGTTCCATTTAAGCATACTAGACGGGGAAATGTGCAGGTAGATTCTGAGAAATTGCTGGTCTAAGGATCATTGAAAACACTGCATCATATGCTCTGTGCCCTTTAAAAAACCCTAAACCGAAAGAAAAAAAAAATAAAATAAAAACTCCTGAAGTCTGTTTTTGAGTCTCTGGTTGTTTCTCCATTGCACCTCCTCATTCTGCATGTCCTGTCTGCCCTGCTATGGAATGCTTGGTCCCTCCTTGCCCTCAGAGGCTGTCTTAATGCCTGGCTAGAGCAGACAGCTGGTTTCAGATAAGCAAATCCAAGGAGCTAGAAGTGGAGACAGAAGAGCTGGGCTACAGATTACCAGAACAGAGGAATGGGGCCAGGCAGCCTCAGGTTGGAGAGATTTCCTGCTGTTTCTTTATGAAGCGTGGAGGGAGAACGGCCCTGAGTCTCTTTTGACTCTAAAATACACCATACACTGAATCCAGTTTTATGTGGGACGTAGCCAAACTCTGTATTGAAGGCGACCCTCTATAGAGACCAAAAATAATGTCTGGAAAATCTGTCTGTACATCTGCTGTAAATACAACTATATAAATGTAAGCCTGCAGAAATCATTGGAAAACTGAACTTACAAGACAAATCTTTGTTTTTTTCTGTATAGCAATTAGACCTACCATCTAGTTGCTTTGTCCTAGGGGGGTCTTGTACACTAACAAGATTCAGTACAACAGGTACAGTAATAATCTAGCTTTTACAACTCTGAAGTATGTAATGCTTGTAATGTACAGCTGGAGGCCAATTGCTTTTAAGAAAACAGACATGCATCCAAAAAATGCCCTATTAAAAGCATAATTCAATTCCAGTCTCATGTGTTGAGATACTATAGATGGTAAAAATGGGCATCCAAACATCACATCCATATGTTCTTGCTGATGTCTTGTTCCAAATCTGATTCCAAAACCATGGGCATTAATCTGGAGTTCTCTAGGTGCTAGAACAGTCCACTCTTTTGGGAAGACTACATTAAATTTTAGAACATGGCTGTGAGGATTCTTCCACATCATACTCAGCAAACCATTTCCTTTTGAATATCACTTTTTCATATAGGGCCTAAACAATGAAAAAGAGCACCAGATCATTATTCTTCCTCTACCATAGAGGAACTATGCAATCCTGTAGGTAACATTCCCCTGACATCTGCCAAGCCCTGATTCACCCATTAGACTGCCAGATGGTGAAGCATGATTCATCACTCCAGAGAACATGTTTTCCACTCAGGGTGTGCTCCAACCAGTCCAGGTAATGTTGGACATTGTGTGGTGATCTCAGGCTTGTGTGCATTTGCACAACTATGAAAACCCAATCAGTGATTTTCCCAAAGAACAGTTCTTAAGCAGATGCTTCCAACAAATGTTGGAACAAATGTTGTTGAGGTGATACATTCGTCAGCATGGAATGGTACTGTTCTATGAGCTTGTGTGGCCTACAGCTTTGCAGCACACCTGTTGTTCCTCCTTGACATCTCCACTTCCCAATAAGATCACTTACAGTTGACCATGGCAGCTCTAGCAGGGCAGACATTTAATAAGCTGACATTTTGGAAAGGGGGCATCATATGACAGGGCCACATTGAAAGTAACTGAGTCATTTAGTATGACCCATTCTCATTCTGCAGTTCTTTGTCTGTGGAGACTGCATGACTGTATGATAAATTTATGCACACATTAGCAATCTAATTAAAAGTTATTTTATTATAGGTACAGCCCAACTCTGACATATCTGATTCAAGTGTGAGATAAGAATAACACTTTGATGTATTTTCAAAATATGAAAATAAGAGTGCCCTATCCAATTGTGCAATGGTCATTTTCATTTTGTGTCATTTTGGTATGAATAAAAAAAATCCGGTAACACTTTATTGTAGGGCAGAGTAAGGCAACATGAAAACTACATAAGCTCATCTAGACAAGTGACAGAAGCCCACATAAACTTTTACAAAGGCTTTTGACAAGCAATGCTATATTATCAGCATTAAATCACCGTGACATACATTAAGTTTCAAAGTCTGTGTCATTTCACCCCAGAAAGTGTCATGACTCAACCTAATGTGAGAAGAAAAGAAACATATTAGGTCAACTTGACATCAAAGTTGGCAAAAGCAGCATTTGTACCAGAAAAAAAAAACATAGAATAAACATTTATAAATGTTGAAGGAAGTTATTGTTGTGAAATGTGCTGTGTTGTGTGTGAATGTGCTGAAGTTGTATTTTAGGCTGCCTATTTTGTGTTTCTCCTTATATGGTCATGTTTGTCGCACCTGTTACTTGTCCTGTATAAGCTGGGTCTAATCTTGGCATCAGTCCAGCTATAAAACTGTGTCAGTCCATGGTCTTACGGGCTGGCTGGGGGTCTGGAACCTGCGCGCGCAACGAATAAACTTCACTTGTCCAGACAACAGATCGAGTCCCCTGGTTTGGAATCAAGAGGGTTTGGATTCTTCATTGTTCATGTAGGTCTTTGTCAGTTATCATGTAGAGCTTACGTATATGTCATGCAGCCTTAAGAACAATGCACTACAGTAAAGTGTTACCAAAGTTCTATATGCACTGACATAACATTGGCTGCCTCTCCCAAATACCTAAGTGTTATAACTTGTAACCAATACAAAAGAAAGCAATGGTAAGAGTAACTGACGAGACTGTGGTTTAGATGATTTATCAGCACCCACCACCCCCATTTTTGTGGCCCCATCATGCAGGCACTGACCTGGATCTCATTCCATATGGAGCTGAGACTCACATCAGGAAACGCTTCACATTCCTGCCACCCTATGCCCTCGCATGGTAAACTCTCTCCAGGCGCGACACACTGAAGCTCTTTGAACAGCATACTGATTTGTGGGATTTTCCATGTGTGGTAATATTACATGAAATACTGAGGTCTAGCAACAAGGGAGCAAGCAATAAATAAAGTACGCAAAATCTTATGCTTGCTCAAAG